CTATTGCTCACATGGCTTTCCTATACATTCTCATAAATCTTTAACCCACATGGCTATGTATGCACCCTGGGCACATTCCTGTGCATGTGTCCGTCCACCCCAAGTAAGTGCAAACGCACTGTCCCAATCCTCACTCTTACCAATGACAGGTTGTAGGCTCCAGACTCTGGGCTCTGCTGCTTGCTAGCTGAATGATCTTAGACAAACCACGTCACTTTTCTGAGATCATTTCTTTTCAACCATATTCTTTCCAGGATTTTGAAAACCAAGCGTTAATGTTGTCATAGTTTGTTAAATGAAAAAGACACTGGATTGAGGACATTTCATTGTCTCAAAGTTTCTCTGGGTAAAGTTTGTATTCACATGGCATTCTGAGAAAACAAATGGGACCTTCCAGATTCTGGAGCCTACGTCTGCTCATGGCACTCGGGGAAGGCCCAAGGGGAAAGAGGGAGCAGCCTGGGGACAGGAGACACTCTGCACACCTGTCTCCCCAGCGCATCCCTCCTCCACTCTCCGCATAATCCAATATGCTGCCTGGATGTAAGCAAAGCAGTCACGAGGGTACTGAATCATAGCTGGTGCCCGGGTTACTTCAGCTGCTCTCTGAACACAAGTTTAGGATCACTTAGGAATCATTCAAAATGGGCATCTTGCATACAGAATGCTGAGAAACCACATTTTTCAAACCTCCCACTGCCAACTTCATTATTCTAATTCCAGTGATGTGGTTAGAGACCTGGTCAGCCTATCTAATGTTTTCAGTACTGCTTTGTAGAGATTTTGACACCATGCCTCTAGTGTAGTGATGCTGCATCAAGAGCTATGGCTCCAAAAACTTCTATCAAGGCACTGCCCCAAAATGACCTTATGCAACTTTCCACTGATACAACAGGCTGTTCTGCTAGTCACTTACCCCCCGTGCTTTGCTGGTGTTGTCAAATTAACACCCCATACTTCAGTCCTTGTCACTTTACCCACTTATTCAAAGAACTTTGCTGATAATGTGACATCTGTTCAAACTATAGGCCACAGCAGTACATTCACTCTGATATGGAACCTGCATTTTCCAATGTGCATAAGGATCTGAAAGGCCAATGTAAGGGGCACAGGCCAAGCTGGAGTCATGAAAAGACAAGGTTTTATTTGGGGATGGGGTGACAGGACATAAAACTGCTCACCTACAAGATGGTTATTCATCTTACAAGAGGTTAACTAAGGACGCCTTTAAATAGTGCACTTTATAAAGGTACTCAAAAGTCTGACTGACTCCTCTAAGAACGTCATTGACAATTTTTAGGAACTGCTTTTATATAAAGGAAAGCACAGAGGTGTGCAGGATGGGAGGGGGCTGGTGGAGGGAGGGCACCCCCTCCCACTGCCTCCAGTGCCTCCCTGTGTGCCACACCTCTCCAGCCAGTAAAAGTCACACTGGACATCACATCTCAGCAAGCCCAGAGCCTCTTCAGAGGGCAGAGCAGGTGTGACCTGGAGGACGACCAAACATTTTCTAATTAAACAATGAAATGTTCAGTACGCTCCATGAACCTCAGAATAGCACCGACTAGTGCCTCAGATAGAAATCTTACATAAGAAAATAACTTTCTATTCCCTGATAATAGTAATAACTCCCTAGAAAATATGATTTATGAGAAAAATAATGAGAAAAATAAGTCAAGTCTGGTAGAGCACCTTTATCTCAATGTTAAATGTGGAAGAAATTAATTGCTTTTAATTTTTGAACGGAGTTTTAAAGTTTTTATCAAAAAAAATTATCTTGCCTATCATGACTCAACCAGAATCATGTTTACACCCTGCATGAATTAGGATAAGTCTGGTCCTATTGCTAACATGTCTCTCTTCCAGAGATATGGACTTGTCTTTCCTTCATTATCTCGCCCCTGTACGCCTTAAGGAGAGTTAGCAGGTTTTCCTTTTCTACCCTAAAATGGGAATGGAGGGGGTCTTCATTTTTATTTTAATATCACCTATACTCTAATGGGGTTATTAAAAACTGACATTTCTGATAGTTAGGTAACATAAAATGAAATGTCATCAGCTGGAGATACAGAGGGATGTGTTTAGAGGTGAGGTGAGTTTCGAATGTTTTTTTTTTTTTTGAAGTTTATATCAAAGTAATTTTGTATTTTTTTTTTTTTTTTGAGACGGAGTCTCGCTCTGTCGCCCAGGCTGGAGTGCAGTGGCTCAATCTCGGCTCACTGCAAGCTCCGCCTCCCGGGTTCACGCCATTCTCCTGCCTCAGCCTCCCGAGTAGCTGGGACTATAGGCGCCCGCCACTGCGCCCGGCTAATTTTTTTCTATTTTTTAGTAGAGACGGGGTTTCACCATGGTCTCGATCTCCTGACCTTGTGATCCGCCCACCTCAGCCTCCCAAAGTGCTGGGATTACAGGCGTGAGCCACCGCGCCCGGCCTAATTTTGTATTTTTAATGAATTAGTTTATTTTATCAGACATTAACAAATTATAATTGTATATGTTTATGGGGTAAAAAGCGATGCTGTGATATGTGTATACAATGTGTCATGGCTGAATGGAGCTAATTAACATACTATCCAATACTTAGCATTTTGGAATGAGTTTTGAAATACTTCATCAAATAAGGCCTCCAAAACTCCACAAAAGGTAACTGCAGGTGGTGACTGGGTGGGGGGTACACAAAGCTTCAGGGCACTATTCTCTGTCTGCCACTGTGTACCACTGAAATTTTCCATAATAAAAAAGTTTAAAAATAGATTTCTCCATCTTTTTTTTAACAAGGCCCTCTTGATTATGAGGATTCCGTTTTCATGCAGGATACGGGGGCAGGGTGAGAGAGGGCGCCCATCAGCTACTAAGTCAGGCTTGCTCCTCGCAAAGAAAGGGGCTGGCGGTGGAGAGATGGAGAGAGAGGGGAGGGAGAAAACAAGGGGAGGGCGCTTCCTCAGGGCCCACAGGCCTCACACCTGTGGTGTGGACCTCCAAAAGAACAGGCCACACCACCGCCAAACACAGCACGCAATTCATCTAAAAATTCGACTTCAGTTTCTTCCTTTCCGCGCCAGAACGGACATCAGACTGCCCACCGCCCGCCTCCTGGCAGCTCCTTTTCACTTCGGCTGCTGCCAGGACTTTGAGACCCAGACCCCTCTTTGAAGACCACTTCCGATCCCCGACGCGACGGCCCCTGAGGTCGCAGCCTGGCACTGAGAAGTTGGCCGGCTCTAGGGGCTGTTATGAGGCTGCTTACCCCACAGGCGCAGGTCTACGCAGCACACACACCACCTCCTTCTTTGGACTCAGACCAAACACGCTGGGCTGTAGGAGGGGAACGGACAGATACACAGACGCGCGCGAGCACGCCCCACCAACTGATTCCAACCAGAAAACGGAGCCACTGTGTAATGCCCAGCCCTCCCCTCCACGACACCCCTGATCAGCCAAGCCTTCGGCCGGTGTCCGCTGCACTAAACACCAGGACACGGCCAGGGAAGTCGCAGGCATCGGTCCGAGCCAGGAGCGCCGCGGCGCCAGCGCATCTGATGTCGCAGGAGGACTGTGCGCACCTGAAGTCGGGGTGCCAAGCGCCCAAACCTCTGCGAGCAAGGAAACCCCCAAGGGAAAACAGGACTACCAGAAGACTCCTTGCTCTCGTCTTTCAGAGATGCCAAACGGCCCCTCTGGCCGCCTCCTCAAAGCTCGGCTGCCAGAGCCACTCTACTAGGGTCTTGCAAAAAGCGCAAAGGGACCAAAGCCCCTTCCCTAAGAAAAGTGCCCAACTCATCTAGTGAGCCATTCCTTCCTCCCCACTGCCCAGAGAGCGCACACGAAGAGGCAGAAATCACGACTAGGAAAAAGCGAGATTCAAACTGGAACCAAAAGAGCGTATGTGCTCGCTCCCATCTTGGCGCCGGAGCTGTGGCTCCCAGGGCTGCAGGCTGTCGCGGCTGCCAGGGGCCAGACAGCTTTCGAAGGCAGGTCTTGCCCTGGCTAGAGGAAAGAGGCTCCCGGAGTCCCTGCTTCCGCCCCGGTCGCCCGTCGGGATTCCCCATCCCAAGCGCGCTTGCACCTTGCCTGCCGCTCCGCTCGGAGGATTAGTCTGTTTCCCTTCCTACTCCCAAACAGACCTAGGTCCCCAGCTCCGCGGCCGCCTGGCTCACCAGCCCCGGCTGGTCTCCTTCGGGTCACTCCGAGGGGTAGCGCGAACCCGCAGAGCCTTGGCCCGCCGCGCGCCCCCATGGCCCTGCTGGGCAGCCTGGCTCCACTACGCTCCCAGTTCTCGGTCTCAGCAGCTCCCATCCTCTTCGCACAGCAGCCCCTTCGCGTCTCCCGGGGTGGTAAGGCACCAAGGTGCAGCCCGGGCCAGCACCGACCCTTTCCTCAGCATCTTCTCCGCCGGCTCAGCTCTTCCTCCCGCCCGCCGACCCTCTGTCTCCTAAGTCTCGTCCCGGCGACCACCCGGACTTACCGCGGGCGCCACGCCGCCGCCGGGTCTGCGCGCTCCGAGGCGGAGCCAGGACTAGGACACCCGCCAGCGCCTGGCAGCCTCCCGCTCCCGCCGCCAGCTCGCTGCCCCCGCCGCGACCCCGCCCACTGCGGGCCCCTCCGCCCGCCCCCGCGGCCTGGAGGTCGGGACTTACCTCCCCGACAAGGTGACCCGGCAAGTGCGCCCAAGCGGCCGCCCGCGAGTCTATCCAGCGAGCGAGCATGCGGGGCGGTGCGGCGCCCGCCTCTGCTCCTCCGCTCCCAGGCTCTCTCCTCCTCTGCCCTCACTTCCGCGCCGCTCCGCTCCCCCCGCCGCTCCCCGCCCTGCGCTAGCCGCCAGCGCCCCCGGCTGCCCCGAGCGCCGGGCGCGGGGCAGCGGCTGCAGCCCGAGCGGCGGGGAGTCGGGAGCTGCGGCGCCGGGGCGGAGCCCAGTCCTCTCGGGAGAGGAAAGGGTGCTGGGAGACTATCGTCGCACGCGCCTGGCCGGCAGGCTGGGCTAGGGGCGCCCTGGGGCGAGCCGCTCAGCTTAGCTTGCGGAGCCTGGCAACGCGCGTGCTAGAGGCGGCGGGCGCGGGCTCCGGGGGAGGAGGGCAGCGAAGAGGAGGAAGGCGCAGCCCGCGCGAAGGTGGCCACCAACTTTGCCCCAGACCAGGGAGGCCCTAGCGGGGGATCCCGTCCAGAGGGTGGCCCGGGGCCAGTGTCTGACAATGTGAGGGCCACAGAGACTGGGGGCGGGGGATAACTGCGGGGGACTAGGAGGACAGGAATTTGCTGCCCGACTAGAGGAAGGGATGGCTCCCCTCGGTCCTAAAGGCCTACCCAGGCTCCGGTTCGGTTTTGAGGTTCAAAATGACCCAATTTATGGGTTCGGCGAATGTTCAAGTCCTGACCAGCTAAGCCATGGAGGAGCAAGCGGGCGCGGAGTTCAGACTCCAGAGACCCCCTCAGCCCTGAGCTAGCCTGCTGTTGGCCCATGGCGGGCCCGCCTCAGTTGGAATTGGAAGGAAACTAGGGCGGTGGTAAGCCAGTCTGCGTTCTAGGAGGGGAGGAGGTGGTGTTTGCAGTCTGGATTTCATAGCGAATCAACTATGAAAAAAAGATTTACCAGAAAGGGGGTCAAAAGTTATTTAGAAAAGCATCTGTGCGCTCCCGTTTCAACACTAGGCAGAGGCCCCAGTCCTGCCACCGCAGTCTCCTTCTCTGGTGGTCAGAAAAGGTTAAGCTCCAGGGTTCCAGGGCTCCCAACCCTCCTAGAGCCCTCCCTCCTGCCTGGTAACCCACCATTGCGATGCGTCTTGCCCAGGTGTCCTGGTGGGCAGGGGCAGGAGTTAAAGGTGGTGCCGGGAACAAGAGGTCCTTCCTATGTTCCTTTCAGGGGACGTGGCTTCTGGGGAGCCTCCACAGCCCAAAGAGAATGCTGAAATGCAGAGTGCCAGAAGGAGGCATTTGAAGGAGGAGCAGGTGAGTGCAACCAGTACCATCACCTGAATTCCATCCCCATCTTCATGTCTGCAGCCCCGCGAGACATGCCTGATGTTTCTTCCCTTAGGTCCCCGGAGCTGCAAGGCTGTAGCCTGGAACACTCAGAAACGGGCACTGTTCATTTCTCCCATCTAGCAGAACTTCTCAACTTGGAAGAACATGCCACCACACCTTAGTAAAGCAGCTTACTGTTCCGGAGCCCTTTCCTGAATAAAGCAGTTTCCCATCTAAGCCATTAGGTTGAGCAGATACTGTTAGACCCATTTGAGGTGGAGCGTCATTGATCCCATTTATCAGATAAAGGAATTGAAGTTCTAAAAGGGTAATTACGATTCCGTAGTGACCCAATGTGCAGGAGTAGCCTCAAGCTCCGTTCCCTGCCTCTAAGTCACTGCTCTTTCACTTGCCCAGTCTCTGAATTGACTTTTGAGGCAGGTTTTGTTTTGACAAGAGAACACCTGCCTGGGCTGCAGCCAGGACTCGCCTTTGTCTCCTGGGTGCAGTTTGAATTTGAAAGTGGACTCTTCCTAATGTAGCAAGCAGGCACCTTGTTGAGTGCAGCCTAACCCGTGGGGCCCCAGGTCACCGCTGGCTGTGTTCCCTCCAAAAGTGAGGGTTGCAGAAAGTAAAGGAAGAAAATAATTTTGCAGTTGTATCCTGTATTGAGTTCTTCTGGACCCTTTATACCCTCGATTCTTTGAAAGTTTTCAGGCTTCAGAACTTTACACACAGGCTTTCCCAGCTGATGTGTTGAGCATGGATACTTTTTTTTTTTTTTTCCTGTTTTTACATTGTTTCTCTGTTTTCGAATGAACATGTAACTCCTCTTTCCCAGTTGCAGGGTGTGCTCCCTTGTTTTATACTTGCACATCTCTTTGCCTGGATACATCCCAAGTGCTGAACAAATACCTAGCAGTTGATGGTTACTGAAAACAAACCACATTGGATTGTGGTGTCAAGAAATTGATGTCTGTTGAAGAAAGACAGTAGTTTGAGAGAGAAAGGAAGAAAATTCATGAAATCAATGTAGTGGATTTAAAAATATACTATTTTTTTATTTGTCCCATGCTGCTCACTTAGCTGCAAGATCCCCAGCTGTCTGTTGTCTTTTCTTGACACTCCCCCCAACACACACACACACACACACACACACACTCCTTAGTGTTTCTACAATTCAAATGGGCCTTACGTTTCATTGCAAAAGAAACTCACAGGGCCGGGACGTGTATGTAAAGAGACGGGTGTCACCCACTCCTGGCAGATGCAGCAGCTCAAAAGGGTTCCTGGTGGGAACCTCAGTGGCCCAGCACACGATGGGCAGTTTCTCTTACCTGTGATTCCCTTATTGTGGCTTGAAATATTATCTAGTATGCTGTGATATAGCATTAAAATAGAGACTTTCAAGAAAGTCAGTGAGGAGCTGTCACATATTAGGCAATGGGACACAGTAGAAATTGCCAAGTCTCTTGGAAATTGGGGTAACCTCAACAATGCTTATCTCAGAAGAGGTTACAGAACTTTCAGAGTTAAGAGAGGTCTGTGGACCACCTCCTGTGCTGGGAAGAACTGTCACTCAGGCACCGAGCAAGCTGCCACACCTTCCAGCCAACATTTTTTTTTTAACTCTCAACTTTTAAGTTCAGGGGTACATGTGCAGGATGCGCAGTTTTGTTACGTAGGTAAATGTGTTTTTTGAGACAGAGTGTTGCGCTGTGGCCCAGGCTGCAGTGCACTGACACAGTCGTGGCTCACTGCAGCCTCAACTTCCTGGACTCAAGTAATCCTTTCACCTCAGCCTCCTGAGTAGTTGGGACTACAGACAGCACCATGCCCCACAAATTTTTGTATTTTTTCTCTTTTTGTGTGGAGACATGGGTTTTGCCATGTTACCCAAGCTGGTTTCAGACTTCTCAAGTGTCTGAGAACTTGCCTCAGCCTCCCAAAGTAGAGGGTCAAGTGCATGTCTGGGTCTGCTCAGTTCCAGCATCAGCAGTGTTGCCCATGCATTCATTACAGCACTTTGGAAAGAAACAAGGAGGAGAGAAAGATACTATGTTTTAAGCAACTTCTATAGTGCTGGTGTAGCAGTTATCTGTTGCTGCTGAACAAACTACTCCAAAACTCAGTGGCTTAAAATGATAATCATTGATTTGCTCACAGTGCTGTGGGTTGATGATATGGGCTGAGCCATCTGGGATGGATTGCCTCTGCCTCACACAGCGCTGTCTGGCCTCACTCAGGCATCTGCGGTCAGCTGGCAGCCAAAGACCTTACATTTCTGGGAGTAGGCTGGCTATGGGCCATGTCTCTCCTTTTCCTGTAGGCTGGCTCAGAGTTCTTCACCCAGTGGTGACTTCGGGGTGCCCGATAGCAATGAGGGAAGGCAAGCCTCAATGTGCATTACTCTTCAGGGTGACGTCACATCATCTCATTGACCAAAGCAGATCAAGTGGCCCAGGCCAGATTCAGGAGTTGGGGAGATATCCTGTACTGTGGCTATAAAGTCACATTGGAAGTGGGCTTGCAGTGAGTGACAGGAAGAATCTGTGGCCTTTTTTTTCAATTACCATGTCTAGAATTGAGATAAGTTCTTTATAAATATAACCTCATTGAATCTTAAGCTCCATGGGGCCATTCGGAATGATCCCAGGAAGACGAAGAACCTAATTTTGAGAACAGAGTGGCTCTCCTGTCTTCACATTGCTTGTGAGAAGTGGGGTGGGGTCCCCAGTAGCCAACATTAATAGGGGTTGTCTTTCAGGCATCAGCTGAATGCTTCCCTGCGAGAGTAGAAGCTCACACCTCAGAGCCAGCCAAGCCTGGGCTAGAGGCAAGTGTCTGCTGCTCTCTCTCACACTCTATCCTGATTAACAGCACCTGGATTTCCTCACCTCTGAAATGAGCTTATTCTATGTGCTGCCTAGCATTGTAGGAGGCAAGGGCGGGCTCAGAGTGCTGGCAGCGCCTTCCTGAGTGGAGCTGGCTGGTCACCGTTCTTAAAGATGGTTGGCAAGACAAGAGCTGCTGGTGCTTTTTCTGAGAAGTTGAGAGAAATGGCAAAGTCTAGATCCTTGGCACAAAGCTGATGCTGGTGTGAAGATCCTCAGAACCTAAGGCCATGACTGATGTCTCTCCCTCAGCTGGGGACCTTCTTGTTTCAAGGGGGCAGAGGCTGAGTGCCGCAGACACTGTTGTGTCTGGATGAGATGCCCCAGATCTCAGTGGCTGATTCCATCTGGCTGCCCCTAGCTCCTGTGGACTCTGTTGCTCAATGGCTCACGCCAAAAATGTCTTGAGTATTATGCTTAGTCCTTGGACAGCTTTAGTTTCTCTTCTGAGAGTATGAAAATGTGGGCTCCTGAAGAGCCACCCAGGCCTATCTAGGAGGGTGGGCAGTGCAGCATGATATGGTGGAGAGGATGCCAGCCTCAGAGGCAGGCCAGGTGAGTTTAACTCCCTCACATCCGACCTTTACTTGCTTACATTCAACAAGCTCCTCATCTTCTTTTTTTTTTTTTGAGATGGAGTCTGGCTCTGTCGCTCAGGCTGGAGTGCAGTGACCGGATCTCAGCTCACTGCAAGCTCCGCCTCCTGGATTTATGCCATTCTCCTGCCTCAGCCTCCGGAGTAGCTGGGACTACAGGTGCCTGCCACCTCACCCAGCTAGTTTTTTTGTATTTTTTAGTAGAGACGGGGTTTCACCGTGATAGTCAGGATGGTCTCGATCTCCTGACCTCGTGATGAGCCCATCTCGGCCTCCCAAAGTGCTGGGACTACAGGCTTGAGCCACCGTGGCCGGCCGCTCCTCATCTTCTTGAAATGCCAGTTTCTCCATCTAGAAAGTGGGCACACTGGCATTGAGCATGGAAGGCGTGTCTGGGGCACTGACAGTTGTGGGCACACAGAAGAGGAACTGTGGTCGCCATGGGCATGTCCGGGGCACTGACAGCCGTGAGCACAAAGAAGAGGAACTGTGGTCGCCATGGGCATGTCCAGGGCACTGACAGCCATGAGCACACAGAAGAGGAACGGTGGTCGCCGTGGGCACAGCGCAGCACTGCGCTTATCAGCAGACCCTTCTAAGACCCGTCTTCTTTCCTCAATATCCCATGGAAGCCAAAATAGCAGCTTTTACTACCTATTATCTGGTGTTCTTATGCCCATCCTTTGCTGGAATAGTTTCCCTCAGTCAAGTTCACAATTTCTCAAACCTTAATTGGATAAATTAGATAAGATTTGTCACACCTCAGTAAACCAGAGGTGCTAAAATACCCAGAAAGAATATGACATTTGGCCTGTGTCTCCCTTCCCAAAACCAGGGCTGGAGAGCTCAGTCAGGACGTTTATTTGGAAAATAATCCCAGGAGAAAGGGGTAAGGGGCCAGTGGGTGGTCAGCAGGGTGGGAGGGGAGTCAGATGGCAGAGGAATCCCTGAGCTGGTCACCACTGCAGGCAGCAGTCACTCTCCATCCCTTTGGAAGGAAGAGAGTGTTTCTCAGAATCACCCAGTCAGGGGATGAAGAGGAGATGCACCTCCATCAGCCTCTGCCCTCCAGGGAGGAGGAGGCATCACCCGTATTGCTGAGTGGTACCTGAGTGTGTGAAGTGCGTTCCCTCTAGCAGAAAAGAGATGTCAAAATAGGATCCTGGGAAATCTTGCTGTGTCGTTTAAGATGTGGAATTCCTGCATCACCCAAGCCTACATTAGAGATCTAGATTTCAATTTGAGACTTTAGGCGTCCAGTTGATCTTTTTTCTAAATATGAGCCTGTGTGAAGCCTGGGCCATAAGGCTGCTTATAGCAGATAGTCGCACAGGTAGGTTTTGTTTATCCTGTCCAGTTGGGAGAGATCGTAAACCATCACCAGCGAGCAGCCCATTCACACACCAGACAGCCAGAAATCAGGTAAGACAGAACAAAGTTCAAGCCCCCCACGTACCCATAAGGACATGGTGGCTCTTTCTTTTGTTGTCCTGTATGGCTGGCCTGCAGTTGTTCTGCTGTCTCCTGACCTCTGTCTTCCACTTCTTGTTCTTAGATTGTCACTTGACCTGAACACACACTTGGCCTTACATTCTCCTGTGCATTTCCGGCTACCATGGGTAATGACCCAGCCTGTGCACACCAGAGCCTGCATCCTCATTGTGTCACCAACTTGGCTGTCCTCATGTCCCCCAGAAACCTGCCTCACCCCTGTCCTGCCTGAGCAGATGGCTTCTCTTTGAATTTTATCTAGTTAATAATTTCTATGATCCAATTAATTGTTCCATAATACATACCTATTATTATGACTGAATGTGGTATCAGAAGCTTCAGTATTTTTAAGAAAATTGTAGTTCAGCTGAAAGCTGGAAAACATGATTGTTCTCAGGACCATTAGAGATTAAACAAAGAAAAAAGAAGAAGAAAAAGCTTTACAAAGCTTTGCTACAGGATGACCTGTGAGGCCAGAATTTGTAGCATATGCTCAAAAACTCGAGCTTCCAAAAATGGACACAGACATTGACTTCAATCCAGGCACCAAGTGAACAGTGCAATGCACCTCCTCGCTAAGATAAAGGAAGACTGTATTTTTCTTGCTGTACAAGTGTAACTCTAACGTCAAGAAAAACTAAGAGGTTGGGATTCTTGAAAACATTGCTGGTGCAGCACTAAGCATTTAAACATGTCATTAATTATTAGCATGGTTGCTGGCACTTTCTAAAAGGCCTAAGAACTCGTTTTTGGCTCAAGAAAACATATTTCTTGCTGCGTTTGCTTTTTTTCTGTGAGCGAAAAAAAGTTCTTTTGCAAAAATAACCACTTCTGTAATTCTGCAGCGTGTAGAACCGAAGGGAGGAAACACAAAGGTAAGCAATTTCATTTTTGTGATTCTCGGTTTATCACTCATATTTTAAGAAAAGAATGCCTTTTAAACAAAGAAACTCACTCAGGCAAGTGCCTGAACCAAAGGCAGCTCTCTGCTGCACCCTGGCTTGTGTTCCCTGGGCAGTTGTCATGCAGATCAGCACCAGCCCACAAAGAGCCCTTACTCTGCTTCTGCACAACTGGCCGGGCAGCTGGTCCTTAGGGGCATTCCTTTGATGCAGTTTGCTTGCTATTAGGCACCCGGGTCCCACAAGGGTCTCCTGCCATAGCACGTATTAAGCATGTCCTCACAGAATCTATCCAATTTGGGGGTACAGGATACATTTGCCCTGGCCAGCAGCAGAAAGAAGAGCTCCTTCTGTTCAAGAGCCACCTGAAAATACATAATTGATTGAAAGAGGACTCACCAGCTAAGATAGACCTTGCCGAATATACATAAAGCTTTTCTCACCCTCAGCCATGGTGAAAAAATAGCAAAACAAAGTGATTTAACCAAGAACAAAGAAGCTGTTGTATCCACAGTAGTAGAGTCACACTGCTTGGGGAGGCCCAGTCCCCAGGTGTATTCTTTCCTTGCCTGTGTGTTTGTCAATTGGCTCAGTGAGTGTTGGTTGGTGTCTGCTACTGGACAGGTACAAAGCAGCTGTTGGGGGCACAGGAGCAGGTGAGCCTGGCAGGTATGGCCCTGCCCAAAAGGACAAGTAAACAGCAGTGACTGTGCAGAGCGATGACTGCTCCAAAGGGGCGAGGAAGGGGTCCTGGGGGAGCAGAGT